TGTTGGATAGAGTTAATCAATATTAAATGACTGTACTTCTGAATTTGGCTAGTACCCATGGACCATGATTTTATTCAGTAAGAGTGTGTAAATTCATCAGTCCAAGAACAGAACGTTCTGGAAAATTCTAGAACAGTCTGCAGACCATGACAGTTCTTTCCAGAACATTCTTGTGAATGGCTTTATCCAGACATCCTGTCCTGAACACCATGAATGGGAAGTGGTTGGAGGATTTATTTCCTGAACCAGCCAACAAACCCTGGAACAGCATCTTTCAGGAGTTTCGGCCTAGTCCTGAGGGAAATAGAACATGTGAAATAACACATTTTTGCTCATTCTTTCAAATAACTTTTTCGTATTCCATCATAAACAGGATGGAGAGTTCTTTTTTTAAAAAAAAAACCAGATGTGGGCAAAAAAAGCTAATTGTTTCTTCCATCTTTGATCCTTCCATTCCCATCTCACATGCACATTCTTTCTACGTGATTTTGGAGATCAGGGCTTGGTTACAGTGCACAAAATAAATCTTTTAACTGCTACCAGTCATGATTTATCATGCAACTGAGATTTGAAGAATGAGAGAAAATGCTATACCAGATAACTGACAAATAACTATAAATGATTTTATTTTCCAGGGGGAGATCCTGCCCTTAATAGCCTTTAGCTAAATGTAACTTCACATGCCTTTTCGTCCTGAGGTTAAAAGGACTCCATTAATAATGTGCATTAAAAACCTACAAATGCTCTTTTAAGTATGCCAAAATGAAGTCATCTTCCCAATCAGTGTTCTATTTGGACTTAGTAATAGACAAGTTATAGCAAAATGCAAAGGAACTGAAGCTTAATTGAGGAAATGGCTTTCATCTAGATTACAACCTGGATTCCTTCCAAGTGACTTGATTGATCAAGAAGTACAAAGCAGACACATCCCAGGTTTTCTGATACGGAACAATAACTGAGGTTTTGTTTCAACTTATGTGCTAGCACAGACTATGACCGAAGACCAGATGATTTTATTTATTCTCAAAACTTATGATGATGGCAATTCACATAGTCTAAACAGATAAGAAGAATTTTAAGAAGAAGCTGAATAAACAAATGAGCACAAGAACAAAATGTATTCCAGATATAACTTACAAGGTAAAAGGCATGTTTCAACATATGAAAGAATGACAGTCAGCTGCTATAGATTGGTCAATCTGCATAACTTGCCGCTGGCTGCCATTACCTTAAATTTCTTCAATATTAATAACACTTTCTGACAAGCTTTAGCCCTGAGAAAAAAGTGAGAAGCAAAATGCGGTTCACAGGAGCTTCAAGGGATGAATCATCTGGAGAACTTAGATTCACAATATGTATGAGTCGTTCAATTTGTGGGGAAATATGTAAGAAAAATACAGTAATATGCTAACATTCTTTCACGTACTAAATAAGGGTTTGGGTTAAATATTCCAAAATTATAAGAACCAAACATGTGCTTTGTGAATGGTTTTCTGAACAACATTGTATTTACAGCATAGATCAGAGATTTGATATTAAGCCTGAATAGAAAGGTCTTTTGCTAACCTGTTTCAATTAGATTTTTATTCAAGGAACAGCAAAATATAGAACTAGCTTGCTCAGTAACAAGATTTTGAAATGCTCTTTTTATTTAGTCCCAAACATTTACTGAAATCATCAAAGTGAAGTTACATGTGGCAAAATAGATCATATAAAGCTACAACAGTGCAGAACCAAAATTAGACATTGCCATAAAGACAAGAGTGAGCAATTTTAGGGAAATGGGATCTTTATTTATTATTTATATTTCATCTTTCCAAACCACCAATCTCCCTCAAGGAGAACAATTGTGTGAAGGCCCAGTAGAGACTAATAATTACTAGCATTGTTCAATTAATAATATTTTGTTGGCTTAGAATGGTGTTTCTCAACTTCGGCGACTTGCAGATATGTGGACTTCAACTCCCAGAATTTCCCAGGTAGCATACTGAAATCCACACATTTTCAAGTGGCCAAGGTTGAGAAACACTNGATAGATAGATAGATAGATAGATAGATAGATAGATAGATAGATAGATAGATAGATAGATGATAGATAGATAGTGTTACAACCCCTGGTATGCCCAAATATGGGAGGGAGCATACTGCTTCCCTTTTCTGTCTATCAACTCACTCTGGGAGTCATCCAGGCAGAGAGCCATTTTTTTAAATGTTGCCTTTGTTACATTTGTGTTGCAATTGTGCTGATAAATAAATAAAGGGAGACTAGTATAGATCAAGCTATTTAGCTCTCATCAGCTAGCCATACCCTTACTGGGAATCAAACCTGGGCTTCTGACCTGGCTGAGGAATTCTGGGAGTTGAAGTCCACAAGCCAAGTTTGGAGATCCTTGCTTTATGTTGCATATTATACCTATTTACATATCCCGTATATTACATTCATCAGCTAAAAAGTTTGCTGCTCAATGTGTAACATTTTCTAGTCCTGCAGCCCGATTTGCTTTCAAGGAAGTATTTTTTTTCCGAGTGGCTTCCGAGATGAAGTCTGTACACAACCTTTAAAAAGTAGCTTGGCAGCCGTTCACATGTTGCGGTGAACCTGTTAGGCACGCCCAACGCCTCTTCACCCCCCCCCTCCACCCCCACTCCCTCGGCGTGACCCTGCCATCTGTGGCCACATGGAAGGCTGGTTTTTGACTTATCCTTGTTTTGTAGATGAGCAGCTGAAAGGGAAGAAAAATAATGGTCAATGACCATAACAACTTAATAATCAAGTTTTTCATGCCACACAATTCAGAGCGAAGAAAATCCCAAATTAAAACCCACGGTCCAATCAGAGCCGAACTCTTTTAAGCGTAATGTGTTAATGCACATCTACACATACACACCCCTTGAATTTCAATGGGACCTAGTGAAACTAAGTGGCTTTGGAGTAAAGACACAACGGGAGTTTCATGTTTTGCTGATTTCAATAGGAGAAAAAAAATAAATGTACTGAGCTAACATTCAGTTCTGCCACATACAATGGGATGAATTATCAAGTAAAGTATTTATTTTAAACCTTGTTTCATCTTGTCCGCCTTTACTCCCAAAACGAGTTCAGAAACTATCCACCTCTGATTTCTGATCCCACCATCTCAATAAACCTTTAACAACGCAAACAGACGGTGAGCTGAAATATTTGTGGAAAAAAGAAGAAACCGGGAAGATTAATAGTAAAATCAGCTAAACTGAGATTTTGGGTTTTTTCCCCTCAAATGGAGAAATGTTTTTCTACACCCCCGAAAAATAAAAAAGTGTTAAAGAAAAAAAAAGGGAAGACCCAACATGTTACGTTCCCTGACTTCTGAATAATTTTAATTTTAGAGTGGTTACCCCCCCCCCCCCAATCCATTCTCTAGTTTTGAAAAAGAAAGGAAAGGAATGAAAGGAAAGGAAAGGAAAGGAAAGATCAGATCAGCCTGGATAAGGAGAAAGGGCTGACCGACGCAACGATCCAGTAAATAAAATCTGGGATTTTTGCAGTCATGCTTTCTATGATTCACCCGAGTTCAAAGTTTCCGTCTGTAACAAAAGTGTATCAGACCAGTAGATTCGATTCTTGATCTTATCGAACTAAATCTAACCCTCGATTTCCCCGCCCCCAGGAAACTGAAAAGAGAGCACTTTAATAAAATAAAATAAAATAAAATAAACCAACTGGGAAAAAAAGACCCATCTCCAATTTTATCCAAGGGCGTGGGGGTGGAGGGGTGGGTTTCCAACTGGGAAAAGTGGGAAAGAAATCGGAAAGGGGGGGGGAGCAAAACGGGCAAGCAGAGAGGAATAAAGGCAGGCGGGGAAATTCAACCAGTTCGCTCCCCGTTTCAAACCAGTTTCAAGCACTCTCGGCTCGCGAACCGACCTCGGATGAAATCAATTGATTAAAAGAATCGAAGTTGATTTTTTTTTCCTGGCAAGGTGCTTCGAATTCGTTTTTAGTTGAAGGGGGGGGGGCAGGAGGAAAGAATCCCGAAATCTTTGCCTTTGAAGAATGGGGGCAATTTTTAAAAAAAACAGTCATTTCTACTTATTAGGGGTTTCTGGGGTCGCCGCCCCCCCTTCCATTCTTCTGGCCAGGGACACCCAAAGTTCGTCGGACAGCCCTGGCGAGAGACGTGCCCTCTCCCCCCCCCCACAATTCCCAAATCCGCTGCCTTCAACAGGTTCAAAGTGCAGAAGGAAGGAAGGGGGGGGGACCCCGGCCGTCTCTAGGGACAACCCCCCCCCACTCACTCACCCACCCACCCTTCCCCTTCTGACCTAAAGAGTTGTGGACCGCCAGATCCTCATCCAGCCGGGGCGAAGGAAGCGAGTCTGGACGCCCCCTCCCGCGGCCGTCTACGCCCTCCCCTCCCGAGTCCCGTCCGCTTTCTCTCTCTCTTTCTCTCCCCCCCCAACGCCCGTCATTTGCATCCTGCGCGGAGGACTCCCCCCCCCCGCCTGCCCACTTCATTTGCATATCTTATATGGCCTAACGTGGAGAACATCAAGAGGGAGTAGTAGGGAGGCCCGCCGTGGTATTTGCACCGCAGAGTCCGCCGCAGAAACAGGTGTCAGCCGAGAGAGCTCTAGGGGTTCCCCGTTGCAAGGCGATCGCGGGGCTTTGGGGAAGGAGGTTGGGTGTTTTTTTGAGGGGGGTTTCCTTCCCCCTTTCCCTATCCTTCCTCCTCCCCCTTTCCTTCTCTTCTCTTGTCTTTTCTCTGTCTCTGTCTCTCTCTATCTCTGTCTCTGTCTCTGTCTCTCTCTCTCTCTCTCTCCCTCTCTCTCTTTCTTTCTCCCTCCCTCCCTCCCTCTCTCTCTCTCTGTTTGTGTGTCTCTGTCTCTGTCTCTGTCTCTCTCTTATTCGCTCTCTCTTTCTCTCTGTGTGTGAGTCTCTCTGTGTATCTTCTCTGTGTGTGTGTGTGTGTCCGTCCGTCTCTCTCTGTCTGTCTCTCTCTGTCTCTCCCTCTCTTTCTCTCCTTCTCTCTCTCTCTCCCTCCGTCTCTCTGTCTCTCTCTCCCTCTCTCTCTTCCTTTCCCTCCTTCCTTCCCTCCTGGGCTTAAAATGGTGTCCAAACTCAGCGCTTTGCAACACGAGCTCCTCAACGCTCTGCTCACCTCCGGAGTCACCAAAGAGGTCCTGATCCAAGCGCTGGAGGAATTGATGCCTTCGCCCAGCAGCACCGACGCTCCGGCGGTCGCGGGTGGTGGCTACGGGGTGAAACTGGAAAACTTGCAGCTGTCGCCCAACAGCGGAGGCGGAGGGACGGAGGCCGACAGCAAGCCCATCTTCCACACCCTGACCAACGGGCACAGCAAAGGCAGGCTGTCGGGGGACGAGGGGTCGGACGATGGGGACGACTTCGACACCCCGCAGATCCTCAGGGAGTTGCAGGCGCTCAACACCGAGGAGGCGGTGGAGCAGAGGGCCGAAGTGGAGAGGATGATCAGGTAAGTGAGGAGGAGGGGAGGCTGCGGGAGAGGGTACCGTAGAGCCAGTGCCCCCCACCCGCAAGCGCGCGGGGTTCGGGGGAAAGTGGTGGGAGTTTGTCCGAAAGAG